ACAGATTAGGACAGGAGCAAAGGAAAAAGATATAAGGTAAAAGGGGATTGGAATCAGATGATCTTCAAGGTCCATTCTAACCTCTTAAAATTCTATGATTCTATATGAATACATGATATGTTTATAGATATGTGTACTATCTCTGTAACATTACAAGAACATGTCAATTATTTTGAAATTGTTACTTCTAATATGGAATACTTTTTAGGATTTCTACACCATACAGCAAAATAGAATCAACAATATCATTTGCATTGACTGTAAGTATATTCTATGAACTTTATGTAGTTTCCACAATTTTTTCTTTATAATATATTTTTTCTAGAATTTACCTATCACCAAGTTATTTCATTCTGACAGGAATATAAGTCTCACAGTTCTAGTTCATGCCAACTGTTCTCTTTAATTTATGAATGAGACTCATTTCCTATATGCAATGTACTTCAAATGTTGTTCATCAATAATGCAACAGGTCTATTGTAATTTTTCTTCAGAGATCAATATAAATGTAAAAGGTATTTTGCTTTATTTTTATTTTGTAATGACTGCACAGTTTCACGATAAAGATGTTTTACAGTGTAGTTCTGCTAATGAAATTGACTTCAGGATGCTGCAAGTTTTCAGTGCAGCAAACTATAAAAATAAAAAAATTATAATAAAATATTGGAGTGGATGAATTTTAAAAAGTTGGTTACTTTCATGTTCATCATTGGCAATTATTTTATTTCCAGGTCAACTTCAACAGCAATGAATCGGTAGTGACAGAAATACTGCATAGAGTTTTCCCCATTTAGTAACCAAAATGTTTGAACATATTTAACTAGCTGATCACGTTTCATTCCAGGCAGAATTTTGGAGAAGGACATGAAACAGGCGAATTCAGCTTTTGTAAGCGTGACATCATAGCCTGATTTTTGATTTATTAGGCTCAGCAAAGCTTTAATAAAACTACAACACAGCAGAACCTATTCTCAATGCTGTCAATTCAAAGCCTTCAAAAGCTACAGGGAAGGCCCAGAAATTGAACTTAAATGCCATAAAACCGAAGTTCGAAATACGTTAAAGACAATTTTTCCTGTCTACTGGTAATGTCAGTGCTCAGGTCTGGAACAATGCCGTGAGTCTTTCACTGAAGAACACATGGGTTGGGGGTGTGTCTTGTGCTTTGAATTATCTACTGTGCCCACAAAGAGGTATCTTCAAGGCATGCAAGCATGAGGGTAATAGCAGTGTGACCTCAGAAGCAAACTCCAGAATTTATACTCCATCAAATTTTGAGAAGACTTTGGTCTCACACTGACACATAGTTTAGTTCAATTATTAGATAAACCTATTCTGTCTTAGACTGTATTTGGAAAGGAAAGGTCAGGCAGTATATCCTGCTTTTATCATACTTTTATCCCTTCTGGTTTACCTTTCCATTTCTGTTGCATTTTAAGAAAAAGTAGACCAAAAAATTTGCTGGTTTGATTGCTGAATATTTTTAGGAAACCTTTATTTCGAATACTGTGCTGAAAGATTACAGTTCCTGTATATTAACCAAAACTACTCTTATTAAAAGCAGCTAGGAAAAGATTATCTGTATGCTTCTACAGGAGGAGATGGAAGAGAAATCATGTTTCTCCTGATGTTTTTGGGAACTGACTTTTCCTAAACAGCTTCATGGAATTCTTTGTTCGTTTCATTACAGTCTGTGCCAAAGGTGGACAGCTGCAGAAATGATTTTTCACCACGTTTGGCAAAAATGCTACATATGGTGTATGTAGGGGTTTTACTTTTAAGACAGGTACAAGTAAGATGGTCCAGGCTTAAGTTTGCCCTGTAAGAATGCTTAATGGGGCAGAAACAATTTGAGTTCTTATCAGATTATTTTTTATCTAGGAAAATATTTTCATCTATTAATTTTTATCTATTAAAACATTACCTCTGTTTTTGCCTTATTCTTACTACTTATACATGTGAATGCCAGAATTCCCAGATATACTGCTGATGTAGCAGTAATATCTTGCAAAATTTATCTGCAAAAATTACTATTTATGCTCTAAGTTTTTTGATTTGAATGATTTTAAAAATTTTTATCAAATTTTATCATTCAGACATTCTGTAGGTATTATAAGTGTTGTCTTACCTACATAACGAAAAATACCTTTTCATGCTACCAGAGGAAGAAAAAACCCAACACTTAACTTAGAAAAGATGACACTAAATGCAGAAGCTCTTTTATGAACTTAATAAAAAAGCACAAATGCTCTGGAGTATTTCCATGTAAGAGGAGTCAAAAACATAAACCCAGGACATATATAAAAGTGTTTTGTAGCAAACAATTGGATGTTACTACAAGAATTTCTAACTGGACAATGTTTATGTAGAAATCCCACAAAAACTGTGTTAATGGGAAACCTTGGAGAATGCAAGATTTGATTCTCAAATGTGCAGGCAGTTCACAGCTATTTTTTTTCCAGAAATATGCAAGGAATTGCTTTTGCAGAAACAAAACAAAGCCAAAAATCTACATTACTGCAACGAATTTTTAAGCCAAACAAAACCAGAACTTGAATCTAGCATTCGGAACTCTTAAGAGCAGACATACAGATATACACATACATACATATATATATATATGTCTGTGTGGATCTTCAAGACACATACACAAAACCATGCATGTACATATAATCTGAAAATCAACAGATGCCAGACAGCTCTTAGCTTGAACGAACTGTAAAATCTGTCTCAAAATGAACATCTGGAACATTTAAATCTTAAATCTAGAGTCGATCTTCTAGATTCCTCAGGGATTATAATGAAGGACTGACTGCACAAACATCTGCCCTTGTCTGCTAAAGGATTTATTTTCTTAGATAAATACAGACAACATGGCATCTCATCCAAGCCATAGTGTTAATGTTTGCAGTTGCTAGACTGCTATACTTATCTTAGCCCAGGATCACAAGTCCACTGGTAATAAAGGTTTACTCAGAACTTTATGATTCCATATAGAAGCTTATTTTTTGGATATTAGTCATTTTGGCATTCTCGAAGTGTTTAAGTCTTCCTAAATCCAGAGATTATCTCAGTCTTTTAGTTTTCAGTGGTTTTTCTGTTGGTCTTTTTACCTTCCACCTGCACAAGAAAATTCTAAAATCTCAGTTAACAGAAGTATTAAGAATAAACAAGTGTCCTTGATAGTGAAAAAAATGTAAAAAATCTATTTCCTTTACAGTATTTTAAAACTTCACTTCTAGATAGTAATTCTTACAAAAAACCCCACACAATCCCACCCCACCCCCCACCAAATGTGTGCTTTACATCCATTTGATCTGTCTGAACAAGGGCTCTCTCTAAAACATGAGTGTACCCTGCAGTGACTATGTAGGTTCTTTACCTCCTTAATTTTCACTTGGCAAGTAGCCCAAGTCTCTGCTTTAAATTTCCCACTTGGTAGCACTAGTATGGCACCTGAAGAGTAATTAGTTGTAAGAAAGGGAATTTGAATTGTTTGCTGAGAAGGAAAAAAATGTGCATGCCTAATAAAGATTTTTTTCCTTGAGTACCTGCAACACCATTTATTTATTTTTGCTTAGAATGCACCACCCTTTAAACAGACCAGTGGCCATTATACTTTTTAAAAATTGTTCAGAGAAACTGAGTGAAAGAAAACTGGTTTGGTTTGAAGACCATGCTATTTTGCCTTCAGTCAATCTTTTCCATTACAGCAGCTCTTTACACAGATTTTGTGCCCCTCACTTCTCTCTTGTTAAAAATAGACTCCTGAGAATGGCCTTTTCTATTTTATTTCTCACATTGCTCCTCTATGGACACCTAAGGTGCAGTCTCCTAGGAAGGGAAATCATGAAGATGTCTTGAGAAAGCAGAATATTTTACCTAAATTACAGGTATCATTCTCTGTGAAGTTTATACTGTCCATGAAACTTTACATTATGACACTGTTTGCAAGACAGGCAGATCTTCATTGGTTCCAATGACCTTGGAAACTCTTCTTGAACAATTCATTACATATATATAGTTATGCAAAACAAGTAACAGAAATGAGGTTTTCCCTCCTCTAGAAATTAGCAGTTCCCTAGCCCTAAGAAAGTGAAAAGTGCTGCTCCTGGTACTGCTTCTGCCTTCTGTGCGAAGACAGAAATGCAGAGAAGTTTGAGGGGGAGGGGATTTGATTTCTTTTTTAATGTCTGCCTCCTTCCAGCAAGTCCATCTGTTGTTGCACTATAATTCTGGAAGCAGGATGTGTGTGTGACCAACAGGAGACAATTACTGCATAAGTGTTTGTTGATTCAGCTCTATAAAGGGCAGGCCAATCACTACAGTATGAACAAAAAAGAATTCCAGCTGAGGAGCTGCATATAGATTAACACAAAATACATATATAAATGAGAATGGGGAAAACCAGAAAGGAGTAATAGCATGGAAAAGGATTAAGTAGGAATGAAGATTGAAGCAGAGAAGAAAGCTGGCATCTTTGGGCTGTTAACCAAATAGTTTACTAGTCTCTACTGTTTTCTTCATAAACTTTGCTCTCTAGCTTTCCACCTTAACAGAGAAATATAGAATCAAATAGACACGGAACTGGTCTGAGCCTGCTTTGGAAGAAAACTCCAGTTGCCTTGGGGTGTAAGGAGATAGTGCCTGTTCTTCACAGAGGAATTGGTGCTAGTTTCTGTGGACACATCAGAATCTCAGGACCACAGGCTAAAGGTGAAACCTCCCTCCCTCATTAGAATGCACAAAAATGTCAGCATGAAGACCACTTCATTCGCAGAGGATTAATGAACTGGGTTGACAGAATAATAAATCAGGCCTTAATATCATTTGTATGTAATAACTGACTCAAAATCTCATGCAAAGTATGCTAATATATAATATTTCATAATTTTGACTATAATAAATTGAGACACAAAACTCAATGTTATCTAAATTTCACATAATTGCAATAGAATTAAGATGAACTTTGTAAGACACTATAATGAAAAGTACTTTACCTCTATGGTCAGTTTACTAGTTTGAAGTCTCTGATCAGCCAAACGTAGTTTATTTGTTAGTTTTTCACTGGTTTCTTTAATCTCCTTCACAGAAGCCACTGCAGTCTTTTTTTCATTCTGTAAAACAGCTATCTGCTGCTGCAATGACTTAATTCTTTCCTGCAGGAGAGTTACAGAGTACCCTGGTTTCTGGGCAGTGATATTTCTCCTTTTTGTTCTGTTCACTAAACATAAAATGGCATGTTACTAAACTGACAGATCATCATAAATAACACCACTTCTGATTTTGTTCTGCCCCTTCGAAACACATTTCCAGACTCTGAAACGTTTCTCAGTAAGTAAACTGGTAAATTAACAGTTAACCTATAAAAACATACAACATATAAAACATATAAAACCAGGTAACCTATTAGCATTGAGCGTTGTACTTCTCTGAAGTGCCAACACTGCAAACACAACAAAAACTTGGATGTTAAAAGTGCCTCAAGTTTCTGATTGGTATTACTGGAAATAAAACCTTAGAATCTTGTTAAAACTTGGAGTTTTTTAAGGTCTAAGCTAAATTACAGTTAATTTCTTTCATTGGATGTGTTGGCTACAAGAGGCAAACGCAAACAAAAGGTAATGAGAAGCCTCCTCTTAGTAGATTCAATAGGTGGAACTTAGTAAAAACAGTGTATTTTAACAGTGTAAGAAGATGACGTTTCACAGTCACTTATTATATGGCAATTTCACTTTAAAACAATGAGCTAAATATCTGAAAATACACTCATAAATTTAAACAAGCAACGCTTGCAACTGCATATGAGTGTGTTTGCGCAATATAAGAAGAGGTTTTGGCAGGTAGAAATGCTTTGTCAATCTCAGTTACGAAGCTACAAAAAATATATAACATTCATACCTTTTCTTAGAATTGATGGATAAGATGTTATGAGATAGCACATCTTCCTCCTCTTGGAATGTAACTTTTCCAGGTTTTTATTATGGAAATGGACCTAAATAAAAAACAGAAGCACAAAGCTACAGCAACTCTTCACTGTGGCACACCAACCACAATACTGCAAATTTTTCCAGTTTGAACTGAAACAGTAAAAAATACTTAGAAAAATACACAAATTCTAATTAATTTTAGTTTTAAAATCAGCTTTACAACATCAGCCAGCAGAAAGTACAAATTTCTGTCTTTCCCATCAAATGAAAAATAAATAATGAACTGTTATAGGTAAATCATAGACTTTTCCAAAGAATCCCAGAGAAAAATGAAGTATCCATTAATGAATAAATTCCTTTTGTAGCTAAGATATGAATTTACTAATAGGGAAAAAGATGGTCTGTATTACTCAAATGTCTTGAAAAACAGGGTATTGTAGACTTTCAAGTGAAACTAAAAATGGAATAGCAGTCTCATTGGCTCAAAATGAGCTAGACCAGATTGGGCACTGAGGCATAACTAGAAGATGCAAGAATCTATATGAACATTCAAAATAAAATCCCTGAGTTTGACCAGGATGTAACAGAAGTTACTGCATGCCTTTTAAACACTTGATTTGAAAAATCATCTGTTTCCAGAACCTATCAAATGTTCAATAACAGAAGAAGAGACTGAAGAAGAATGTTGCTTGCAATATGTAAAATCAAAACGTCCAGAGCGTGGCTTACTCTAAAATCAAAGCACTACTTTGCTGGATATTAAATGCTCAGTGTATTTTTCAACACTTCTGTTATGGAATTCTGCAACATTAATCCAATTTTTGAAGTCTTCAGGTTGCAATTTTTATGTGGTATTGTGCAATATACTACTGGAAATATTCACAACTAAAATAGCTGTTCTGCAAATTTAAAAGAGTATACAGCAACACATTGTCTATTAACTGCACTGAGCAATTACTGACATTGCAGGATAGCTTAGCCATTAATTCTAGATTTGTACAACCACCACACAACCTGAAGGACCGAGAATAGAGCTCTCAGCAGATGACGAGCAAACAATCCGTGCCTGCAGCAAAAAGATGGAGATCTCCACCACAGACTACAGCTTTAATAAATGTATGAGTTGTAAGAGAGTGTCAGGAACTCTGCTGATACTCCACAGGGTATCATACACGTATACCATGTATCACAAAACTGACAAAGTCCTTGTGTCATAAATGCTCACATCTCCTACCCTAGCACAGCTCAGGACTTAGAAGATTTCTCTAGCTTTTCTTTTTATGAGAATAGTGTGACCCAGCTGGAGGGTCCTTAAATCCTCTGGATGGATTTAGGAATTCTGTTAAAATTGGTGTTCCCAACTGTCAGTTACTAAACCTTTGTCCAATACTATCTTCTGTGCTCACAAACCGTGTTTTGAAATGCTTTTCCTACAACAGGGGAGTTCTGCTGAAGCATATTTAACTGCTTCGAGCTCTTGGGATGCTTCCTGTCTATGCTCCAATTTCAGCAGTCTGTTACATTATGTGTACCACAATATATATGTGTTTGTCTTTTCCAGTAGAAACAGAGAGTCAATCCAATACGGCCCTACAGAAGAGCCAGTGGCCGTGTCTACACTAACCGAGCAAGAGAGAACAGAGTCTCCTGGATACCCTGCCTTGTATGCCTTCACTCAGGAATAGCACACCGTCAGATTTTCACGTCTATCATGTGCATCTACTCATACGATGTATTCCATACCAACAGATGGTTGCATAAGAATATTCCTTATTTTTCAGTTTTTCTAACACGAAAAGTTTTCATGGAATAAAACGAACAAGAATATGTAACAAGACAAAGGGGTTTGTATTTGCTTTAAAATTCTGGAGACTAATAAATTGTTTTCAAACTCTTTGTTATATCACCATACAAAACTGAATTTCAAACTAGTTATCTAGAGCATCAAGTTGTTTATTGTTTCAGTATTCTCTTTCTTGAAGCAAGAAACAACAATATCTGCTTGTATTTTAAACTTCGTGAAGTGATTTATTTGGGCAGACACAGGAGGGAAAAAGTATTAGACACTGTTCAAAAGTCCAAGAATGAGTCATCTGTTACAGATTGTACAGAGCCTCTAAAGACCTGGGAAATGACCAGCTGGCCCTCTTCTGTGAGAAAACAGCATATAGATGTTAGCAATGAGACAAGGGGTTCAAATCCCAGACAATGAACGCAAATAGGCTAAATGCATACTTTTCTCAAGATAGAATCTCCTGGACACAGAGTCAAAAGCATCTTTCCAAGACGGAGACAACTTATCATGTGCACACCAAGTGAACTGAGAGATGTTCAGGCTTCATTAGTCAGCATACCATTTGGCTACAGGGGAGGAGGGGATGTTTCTGTTCTCCTGTTATGGGTTAGATCAGCCTAGTCTGTATGGCTTTACTGATTGAGAGAAAGTTTAATGGGATGGACCATGAGACAGCAGCAGTACCTTATAGGAGCTTTACTTTTTTCCTCAGCTTTTGCACTCCTGACACACTCTCCAAACACTTTAGCAGACTAGTTGTACAGAAAATATTCTTAATGATTATGAATCTACTCATTAAATATCTGGAAGTAGATTTAATTTTCACTTTACCACAAGAGTCAAATTAATTAAAAGGGCAATGGCAGTGATAATACTAACTACTAAACTTGAACACCCTGCACAGGAAAACAAAACAAGTTCTATTATATACCTTTTTATTAGAGTGCTCATTTTTGCCTTCTAAATGAAGGGCTTTGCTGGGCTTTTTTCCTTGTTGTTGATTTCTGTCCGGCAGAGGATCAATGTTTTGCACTGTCTTCATAATCACTGTTTCCAGACTTTCAGAAGTTGGTATTTCAGAGTCACTAAAACAGCACATTCAGGAAAACAAAACAAAATAAAGCTAAATATTAAAAGCTCCAAACAGCCAGTGCTCAAGCACATAGAAACAAACACACAAGAAAGAAGAGAAACTAATATAAAATCCAAATGGTACTAAGGTGAATTATTCAACAGATTTTACAAAGACAATAAAGAAGTAATCTGTCTCTGAAATAGTCCTATCAAGTTCAGTTCTGTCAGATGGAATCTCACTCTACAGTGCAGGGAAGTCTGAGACTTCATCTGCTTCTTAAAGGACAGTTTTTGTTACAGTCTACAAAAGTGACACACATGAAAAAACACTCAATAGTACTTCTAGTCTGAGAATGGCTCATAAAGCTATACTACATTTCTACTTTCCTTCATTTTCACATTTGATAATAAAACAAGCAAATGCACAATACTTAACTCGGTATTGATAGTGTTGACTGAGGCAAACTCCGAAATCACACTTCAGTGATATCTCTGCTTTGCACCTCTTTGGAGTGCTTTTAAATTCTCTAAACTTGTAAGTCCTTTCACTGAGATATCCTGCCATGCAGAGAAACTGGACCTTAAACATTAATTCTTCTTCTATTTTTTCCTTAAAATTGCACTCAATGTGCTCTTAATTTCCAGTTATTCACTGCCTTGCCCCAGATTATCATTTGATTTCATATATTCAGTGAAGTCTATATTAAAACATGAAATGTTGGATATATCCTTTTCTATATCTTCAGTGGCTATTTATCATCATCTGTGCAAACAGATTTGTGAAGGAATCCCTTGGCACAAGGCTATTTTGATTTGTTACTTTTTAAACCAAGATATTTTAAACAGCACAGCTGAGTTCAAATTAAGCTGCACTGTCATAAATAACAACACTTTGGAGACAAAGGCTACTTAACCAGAGAAAAGGCCTCAAATTGAAGAGCTCACAGAGGAACTTGCTTATGCTTTCCAAAACCTGTCCTGACACATTGGTATGTCTTATTGACTGATAAGAATAGAAATTAGTGTAATGGTTTAAAGGTGCTAGAGTAGCACTGAGATATTTCTAACTACACACACGTTTCCCTCACTTGAATGCTTTCAAGGAATGCACTATTTAGAAAATGGAAGGCTTGAATTTAAAAATTCGGAGGCAGCTGCTAGTGATGAAGAACAGTATTTATTAATAACTAGAAGAGTGAACTTAGTGAAGATACTTCCCTAACTTGTTGAGAATCACACCTTGAAACATCAGTTCCAAAAATGTTCCCTATTCTATGATAAGAATTCCCTAACTCAATATTTATACAACTACCATAAGTAGTATTTATGGTTAGCCACGATAACTGAAGCTATGCAATTACTTTCCGCTTCACTTCAAACTCAGAGCGAAATGACAATGTGCTTGCTCAATTTTGTTCTTAAACACAACCATAGTAAATGAAATAAAAAGCTTAGTAATCACAACAGAAAAATGTGTATGTTTTCCGCTAAAATCAGATCTGTATTACTAAATTAAACAGAAAAACAAACAAGCTTTACATTAATGAAATCAACTGACAAATTACATGGTTCTTAATTTGTTTTCTCTCTCTTGATAATGTGTTCAGGAGCCCCCTACTTTGCATGAGCAGAAGAGCTTCATTTGCCACTATTGATTTGCTCCATATGACATATAAAGCCAACATGAAGCCCATGAAAGCAGTTCAGTTTTCCTTACTCTTTTGACACCCTTCCTGCATTTTGGGTAAATACACACTTGAGCAATTTCTTTGCTTGTCTCTTAGGACAAAGTTCTGAAAGACAAGGTGTGATACCCATTTACCTAGTGGCTTAATGCTGCCTCCTAAAGTATGTGTGGACAAATAGAAGAAGAAGCAAAAAATCTAAAATGTTTACGAAGCTTGCCAGGGCAATTTTCTGAGAGCCCTGTGACTCATGACTGGGACTATATGTGGTAACAATTACCTTTAAAGAACTGATTTTTAACCATCATTCAATTGAAGTTAGTACAATGACTGTGCATAAAACATACATGAAATAATTAGTGTGGATGGTTCTTAATTTAAAGGATGTTAAACAGCTTGTAGACATCTGCTAGCAAGCTGAAATGGGTCATTCAAAATTTATCTAACTAAATTAAGGGGAAAAAATGTTTCTCCTCCCGGGTCGGCATGTCACAAGATAACTAAACCGACTTAGTAGGCTTGCCTGGGAATCCTTAGCTGTCAGTGGTGAATATGCAAAGGGCCAGCAAATTAAATCAACCTGCCAAACTGTCAATTTCAAGCCTCATGACTGCATGAAAATAGCATCACTGGAAGAAATCAAGCATTGCCTTCTTTTGGGTTTCCTGGCACCTATTCAAATACTCATGCAGTTGTGGCTAATTTCGCATGCAAATTTCAGTCAATAAGCTCAGAACAAGACCTCCCAAGATATTTCAAAGGATCTGACAGTATTTTTTTTGAATACCAAATCAACAGTAGTTGAAATTCAATCTCCATTTGCCAATGCTTTACATATGCACAGTGTCCCCTCTACAGGGCTAAGTTAATGAGAGCCGTACCTGCTTTCACTCACATCCTCCCAGCCGTCCTTACTGAAGTTCTCAAATACATTACTCATAACCTTGATGGACTGTTTGGGAAAAGCTCTATGATGTCCCAAAGAGCTCTTTTTCTTGGCTGTTTTTAATTTAACCTTGGTGCCTGTTATCTTGCAATTACATTGCCCAGAGGTTGCCACTGCTTTGGCTTTATCCAGCAAACACTTCTGCTCCTGCACTTGACTCAGCAAATCTTCACTTTCATTTCTCAACCTGTTAGCTTCTGCCACTTGCCTCTTCAAAGAGGCAGCTTCTTTTTCCTTCTCATCAATCACTAACTGAAGTTCTGCTTTTTCTTTTTTTATGTCAGAAATCCTCTTAAGTAGTGTTTTCAGCTCTCTTTCTCTTGTGTCTGCATCTTCCTTTTGCACTCTTAAAGATTCTTTCAAATAAATTTTCTCATTCAGCAAATCTTTATTTACTTCTTTCAGTTTCTTCAATTCCTCTTCAATAGCTTTGAATCTTCTTTCCAGATGTTTCACCTAACAAGAGCAATTTTAGCATTCACCATATTTCAGCCTATCCGTAAAAAAACTAAACCATACTTTCAAATACATTTATTATGTGAGAATATTACATGAAGCACAAGGACAAAAGCAATCTATAGTCCTTAATTTAAAAATAATTCTAACACAGTGCAGATGAAAACATTTTAGCTGCAATAATACAGCTGTTAAACAAAAGGCAGATGGTAAAACAAGTTAAAATTCCAGGCAAAGTGACACAGAAGTTTAAGTATGCTAATGAATCTTCCTGATGCATCTTGAGCTCATTACTGATTTGGTTATACATACTAATTGAATTTAAAAAAGCATTTTCAGAAGGATTACTACTTTGAAATACAGGCAGTTTTGGACTAGCTATCTAAATCAACAAGTTCTTTCAAGTATCGTAAATCCACAAATAAAATATTAATTTGGTCTTTCGAAAAACCTCAAACAAATCCTAGCAAGAGATACCAGAAAGTCAGCACCTAAAAAATGTGAAAGCTAATACGTATTTTCCATTCACAGAAAGCAAAAATCTATGCAGTTTCAATCGACAGACCTTAACTTTATGAGCTTCTGGTAGAAATTTTGAAGAAGCATATTCTACCTATATATGATACATATGCTTTGCTTGTAAAGTCCCTTGAGGTTTAGTCATCTTCAAGGCCACTAACAATAAACTGATTCTCTATGTTCTTCTGGAATGTTTGCGTAAAGCACCAACTAAACCCCAAAATTTGCAGAAATAAGGAGCAGTTGAATTTTAGCAGATACTAAGCCAAATATTTAATCTATGAGATTTCCCTAGAAACTTGCAAAGGAAATCAGAGTGAATTTTATGTTCAGTAACTACTTACTCCAAAACTTGGAGAAATACTTTCCATTCACTTTG